GAAAATATTTTAATATTATTTTTTTATTAATATGTTCGTCCGATTTTCTCGAAATTATGCCATAAATATCGATTGTTCGATTTAAAAAGCATTTGTTCAGTCGATTTGACTAGTTGTTGTTTTAAATCCCTAATATGAGTTTCATCCAATTTTCTGTAGTTTTTGACCCATTAACGTCCCATAAACGTCGAAAACGTCATATACCTGTATAAAATGTAATAAATGTAGTAAACGTCATTTATTTGAATATTATTACAATAGAGTTATTTTCAGGAATATACATTATTTTTACATATATATGAGTACTCCTTACTAAAACTTATTAAAAAATTTTAAACTTTTTGGAAAATAAAATTTGAAATTTGATATGGATTTGAGTAAAGCATTCGCAATTTCCAAACTGATTAATGGAAATAGCTATTTTGTCAAAAACCTAATGGTTTTGGATCGGTTTCCGACGTTTCTGACGTATGTATTATACGTCAGAAATGTATGTCATTTACGTCACTATTTCTGACGGACCATCTCTGGTCAACGTCCTCATGTAAGGTTCCTGAAAGTTTTGAATCCTCACCAAAGGATGTAGTTTATTCGAAGTTTGAACTTAATAACGTTTAATTTTGATTATATTTATTTCGGAATTGTGGGAATTTCGAATATATTCAAATTTGTTAAATTGAATATACCGTTGCCCGATATTTATTTAAGCAATTCCAAGGGACTGACCACTCATGTTAGTGTTCGCACTTCACAACGCATTGGGGTGGGGGTACCTAATCTGTTGTGATTTTTGATTCCATTCCGTTGATTTGTACACCTTCCCTACTATGCATTCATATGTGCAGAAAACTTGTTTATTTTTAATTAAATATATATCATGGTGGTTTTACATTGAATATTTATTTAAATCACATTTCAATATTTGTACTAACCTTTAAAAAAAAGTATCATTACAAATATTTCATTGTTAAAACCTCTATTATTGTTAGATGTGTATTATTTATTTAATATGCAATCATCTAATTGCATTCAATTTTCATAATTTATAATAACATTTATTTTTCGTCCGTTTATTTTTTTAGCGTATTTTTATTATCGTTGATGGTGTGGTGTTTTCACAACGTCATGGGCCAGGTGCCATTTCCAGAAAATTGTCCCAATGTGAAAATTGTTGAATCATTCGATTTGGATAGAGTAAATAAATACGTACATATGTATACACATAACTACTCATACTAATACACTTAATTTTCATTATAGTATATGGGTATTTGGTATGAATATTCAAAATATCCTTTCATTTGGGAAGCGGGACAAAAATGTCAATATGCCATTTATAAAAATAATGGCAACAATACTGTGGCGGTAAAAAATGTCGGAACATTTGTCATGTGAGTATGAAGTGGAAAAATAATCACATCGAATAAGGGATTTATTTTCTTTTGTTAGTGTAAATAAATCGAGCAGTGTCCAGGGTACGGCCAAAGTAATTGCACCCGGCCAGTTGGCAGTTGCATTTAGAAATCGTATGTGAATACTTAATAAGAGCCGAAAGTCTAGCACTGATAACCTAATTTTGTTTCCATTTTGATTTATTTAGAAGAAGTCAATGAACCAAATTATTTGATATTGGGTACCGACTATGACAATTGGGTTGTTGTCTACAGCTGTAAAAATGTCAGCTCGTTTGCACATACAAGTAAGTATTGCTGATTATTTTTGTTCATAGATACGAGTGGATTTTTAAAATATTATTCTCAAAATGTATTAGCGGGGAATTTTTGAGTCCTCAAGCGTGGAGTTTTGAAGTATTTTATTTAGGACTTCTAGAGTGGATTTTAAAATATGTTTCAAGAAATTCAAGAATTTCAAAATAAATTTTAGGGAATAAAAGCGCAGATTTTAAGAATATTTTTCAAGAGCTACAAGCGTGAATTTCTATACCCTACACCACATTGTGGTACAGGGTATTATATCTTTGAGCACAACGTACTGAAATAAGCACAGGTTGACGTACGTGAGGTTTTCTTGAAATCGGTTCCTTTTTTGATAGAGCTCCTATATATCATTTCGACCCAATTTATGTTAATGGTTTACATGTAGTATCCATAAATAATATCATACGATTTCGTCTAAACGGTGCACCAAATACCCAAAGTTCAAAATGAAGGGTATTGAGATTATTATACCCTCCACCATAGTATACTAATTTTATCATTCCGTTTGTAACTCATCGAAATATTCATTTCCGACCCTATAAAGTACATATATTTTTGATCATGGTGAACTTCTAAGCAATATAGTCATTTCCGTCCGTCTGTTGTAATCACGCTATCTTCTGAAGGAATTAAGATAGGGTGCTAAAATTTTGCATAGGTTTGCCTTTTGTCTACAGGCAGGTTAAATTCGAAGATGGGGTATATCGGTCCACGTTTAGGCATAGCTCCCATATAACAGTACCTCCCAATTTTCGGAATTTTGGGGCTCGTGAGCGCGTTTTTAAACCGAATACGCTGAAGTTTGGTAAATTGGGTACTAACTATCTACACAAAAAATTATAAATATAGGACCACTTTTTCTGATAGCCCCCATAAAACGGTACCTCATAATTTTCTGTATTTTGGGGGTTTTGATCGTATTTTTCCCCCGAATTTGGCTGTAATTTAGTATGTAGAGTTTTTAATTGGTACCAAATCTCTCCACATAAAATCCATTTTTTCGGTGAGCCCCCATATAAGGGTACCCCCCAGTTTTCGGTATTTTGGGGTTCTTGAGCGCGTTTTTCAACCGAATTCGCTGCAATTTGGTATATTGTAGTCGTATATGGTAACAAATCTCTCTAACAAAAATTTTTAATATTTGCCCCCTTTTTGTGGTCGTCCCCATGTAACTCCTTTTTTATACCCTTCACCTATACCAATTCGCTGCAATTTGGTATATTGTAGTCGTATATGGTAACAAATCTCTCAACCAAAAATGTTTAATATTTGCCCCCTTTTTGTGGTCGTCCTCATATAACCCCCTTTTTATACCCTTCACCACTCTGTGGTACAGGGTGTTATGTCTTTGTGCATATGTTTGTAACAGGCAAAAGGAAACGAGGTAGACACATGGCTTCTTTTGAGAATATGCATAGAATCACTTTTTAAGACGATCTATGCATATCCGTCCGTCCGTCTGTCTGTCCATGTTAAATTGTGAACAAAGTGCAAGTCGCATTTATGATCCGAATTGGATAAAATTTGGCACAGCTCATTTGTTTGGCCCAAGGACGAACCCTATTGAAATTGGGAAAAATGGGTTCAGATTAAGATATAGCTTCCATATATATTTTCGTCCGATTTAATGTATATGGTGTACCAAAGTTCCTATATATCTTTCGTTTTGCACGAAATTTGCACAGCGTAATTAATAAGGTCTAGAATGATGTCTGCCAAGTTCCGTGAAAATCGGTCCAGATTTATATATAGCTCCCATATATATTTTGGTGTACCAAAGTCCCTATATATCTTTTGATTTGCACGAAATTTGGCATAGCGTAATGAATTGCCTCTAGAATGATGTGTGTTAAGTTTCCTGAAAATCGGTCCATATTTAGATAAAGCACCCATATATATTTTCGTCCGATTTTATGTAAATGGTGTACCAAAGTCCCTATATATCTTTCGATTTGCACGAAATTTGGCATAGCGTAATGAATTACCTCTAGAATGATGTGTGTTAAGTTTTCTGAAAATCGATCCAGATTTAGATATAGATCACATATATTTTCATACGATTTTATGTAAATGGTGTACCAAAGTCCCTAGATATCTTTCGATTTGCACGAAATATGGCGTGGCGTAATGAATTAGCTCTAGAATGATGTGTGTTAAGTTTCCTGAAAATCGGTCCAGATTTAGATATAGTTCCCATCAATGTCAATCGTCCCGGCCGAACTTAACGCTTTTTCATTTGTTGTACATCAAAGTCAATATCATGGAAAGTTTGCAACGACAGGTCAATTAACCCAAAACTATTCACTTCTTTTCATATACTTAAGTAATTCCCGAGTTATAAAGAGGTTTCTCTGTGAGTGTACAGCTATCGTATGAACTAGAATAAAGCCAATCAGTGAAGATCTTCCTTATTATACCCTTCACCACACTGTGGTACAGGGTATTATGTCTTTGTGCATATGTTTGTAACAGGCAAAAATTATCGAGATAGACCCATGGTTCCTTTTGAGAATGTGCATAGAATCACTTTCTGAATCGATTTATGCATGTCCGTCTGTCCGTCTGTTGGTGTTAAATTGTAAACAAAGTACAGGTCGCATTTATGATCCGATTTGGATGAAATTTGGCACAGCTCATTTGTTTGGCCCAAGGACGAACCCTATTGAAATTGGGAAAAATCGGTTCAGATTTAGATATAGCTCCCATATATATTTTTGCCCGATTTACGGACTTTAGACCCTGAAAATCTTTCGATTTGCACGAAATTTGGCATAGCGTACTGAATTGAGCCACGAAAGATGTGTGCCAAGTTTCGTGAAAATCGGTTCAGATTTATATATAGCTCCCATATATAGTTTCGCCCGATTTACGGACTTTAGACCCTGAAAATCTTTCGATTTGCACGAAATTTGGCATAGCGTACTGAATTGAGCCACGAAAGATGTGTGCCAAGTTTCGTGCAAATCGGTTCAGATTTAGATATAGTTCCCATATATAGTTTCGGCCGATTTTTGGTAAATGGCGTACTAAAGTCCCTATATATCTTTCGATTTGCAGGAAATTTGGCATAGCGCACTGAATTAAGTCTAGAATGATGTGTGCAAAGTTTCGTGATAATCGGTTCAGATTTAGATATAGCTCCCGTATATATCTTCCTCCGATTTAAGGTAAATGGTGTACCAAAGTCCTTATATATCTTTCGATTTGCATGAAATTTGGCATAACGTACTGAATTGAGGCTAGAATGATGTCTGCCCAGTTTCGCGAAAATCGGTCCAGATTTAGATATAGCTCCCATATATAGTTTCGTCCGATTTCATGTTAATGGTGCCCCAAAGTCCCTATATATCTTTCGATTTGCAGGAAATTTGGCATAACGTACTGAATTGAGCATAGAATGATGTCTGCCCAGTTTCGAGAAAATCGGCCCAGATTCAGATATAGTTTCGTCCGATTTCATGTAAATGGTGCACCAAAGTCCCTATATATCCTTCGATATATTTGGATAGAGCTTCCATATATATTTTCGCCCGATTTTAAGTAAATTGGACATCAAACTCTTCATGCTAGTCAGGTTGACATCAAATTTTGCACAACGTACAAAATTGAGCATAGAATTACGTAGTTGCGTTTTCTAGAAGTACAGACATAGCCCAACAGATAACCTATTTATATTTGATTAAAGTCGATTTATATAACTTATGTATATATAGGTAGATTCACATTTAGATAAATATCACATATTTTATTTCATCCAATTTCATGTTAATAGTCCTGTTTAATATATCCATAGTGGTGAAGGGTATCATATAGTCGGCCCCGTCCGACTTTACTACTTTCCTTACTGGTTTTTTAACTTGGTTTTGGGTAAAAAATTGACGATTTCCCAAAAATATTTTTTCAAAGGTCCGCCATTTTGTTAATTTTAGAGCGAAGTCAATAATCCTAGTTCATACGAGAGCTAGACATGTACTTTTTGTAACACCGTTGGAATTTTCGGATTCCGATGTTCCAGTGAGGAGTTATCATGCCCGCAATCAAAGACAAGGACTTTTCTTTAATTATAAAAAACAACAACAAAACAATAACAACATTGTTTTGTAAATTATTTTTCTTCTATTTTAAATCTTCAAATATATATGTGCAAAGTTACAAACTTTAACAAGCATTGGTATTGATTTACCAGCCCATTGAATATCTTGAAAAATTAAAATCGAGAATGGGGGGGTTCCCTTAAAGAAGAAGAAAAATAATTTGCAAAATTTGGTTGTTGCTGTTTTTGATGATTAAAGAAAAGTCCTTATTTGTGATGGCGGGCATTATAACTCATCGCTGGAACATCGGAATCCGGAAATTCCAACGGTATTAGAAAGAGTACATGACTGGCTCTCTGGCTTAATCTATCAGTACAGTCATCTGCCGAAAAATAATGGATTTTTCCCCAACATAATATAATATCTCATATAGCAAATGAGAACACATTCGCAAGAGACAGAACGGATCACAAAATTGTTGAACCGGATTTTTAGATAATTAATCCGAATTTGTACCGGTTTTTATCAACTGATTTTAAAGCAAAGAACATTGTTGATCACATGTTAAAAATTCTTTGCTTAAGATTCAGCCAAAACTTTACTTATTTTTATAATTAAATAATATTTCAATACAATTTACAATCTGATACTGCTTATCAATGCCAATCTAACTACCCAACCCAGTTTCTTCATTGAATGCGATACCTTTTCTACAGGGCTTAATGTAATTAATTATGCAAAATGTAAAAACAATTAGAAATTGTCTCACACACGCACACATCACACGTCTGTAAGTCATATCAAAATACTACATATAATTATTTTTATGCTTTTATAATTAATTACAGTGAAGACATTGCGGTTATTCGCAAAGAAGCAATTTATGAGAAATTATAACTAATTGCTCCTCAGTCCATCAAACACAAAACCTCACATTTTTAAAACTCTTCCTTTTCTCATGTTTACTTTCAGAAATCATTTGGATATTAAGCCGTCAACGACAACCCAGCGAAGAGGCCATTCGTGCCGCAAAACAAGTCATCAAAGATAATAATTTGTCCGAAGAATTTCTAATGAAATCAACTCAAACCGATTGCCCAGATGTCAACGACAACGATGAGAATGGCAGTGACCAAGTTGCCGACGCTTCAACTGTCTCAGATCAATCGATTGATTTCAGTTCAACAACACCGTCGAATGTCATTCAGACGGCATGAGAATTGCTTGGGCGTCTTATCAGACGCATCGTTGAGATGTTTATGTCATTTATGTATTTTATGCGACGTTCATTGTACACTTTATAGACTTAGCGACAGAATGAGTGAATTGTATTTTTTTTATTGTATTGTTTTTTTTTAAGTAATTAAAGTAAAGTTTAATGTCAAATGATTTCGAAGAACACAAGCTGTATAATTGATGTACTAAAAAACAAATTTCTTTGTAGTTTTAAGTTTTTTTAAATTTTTTAATAAATTATATTATTTTCTGTCTATAAATAGCTTTATTTTAACTGTACGAGTTTAATATTTGAGGAGGGCAATATAATTTGACATATGTAACAATATCGTCGGACGGTGCCGAACATATGATACCCTACACAACTACCACTGTATTTAATTAAATCTTATACGGATATCCCAATACAAATTTCAGTATATCCCCCATATTATTCCTCTTGAATCATTTGAACCAAAATAATGACCAATTAACATCGTTCGTGTACAATTTCGTGACGTTCGGGTCATATTTGTGACCTTTAGAGCGACTTGAAAAAAAGCAAAAAAAAAAAAACAGTAAGGAAAGAGAATAGAGAATTAGGCGATGCCAAAAGGTGGACGGCCCGACAAATGGTACCGTTCACCACTTTGGGTACATACAAGAGATCCCATAGACAGAACAGATATAGCATCTTTGGCGGACCATTGAAAGGGAATCGGGAACATACACACACTATTCTGAAATCTATGAAAAATGTTCATGTCAATCTGGCAGACTAAGATTCTTTGTTGTACCTTTTGTATGAGCAACCGTGGCATACAACATTTGGTATGGTGCAGCACAGTATGATGTCCACAATTATATCTCAAACGAAAAAATATAGGAGTTATATCTAAATCTGAAAATATTCTACGAAATCCAATACGAGTTATTTTAGCTCCAATATGGTACGTTGTGCACAAATTCGTCCCAATCAGAAAAATGTTAGTTATTTGGTTCACCATTTATATTAAACCGGACAAAAATATATAAATAAAACTTAACACTAGTCATTCTATACCCGATTTAATATGTTAAACATAATACCGTGCAATGGATAATGATCTATGGTGTACCATTAACGTAAAATGGAAAACTATGCTAATCTGAATTAATTTCAACGAAACTTCGCATACGTCTATCTGGACCTATTTCAGAACGCTGAGCCAAATTTTGTCTCAATCAAACAAATATTGGGAGTTTGATGCACCATTTAGATAAAATCGGACGAAAGTGTATACATGGGAGCTATATCTGATCCGATTTCAATTAAACTTAAAACACTCTATCCTAGTACCAATTCCATAAGTTATGCCAAATTTCGTCACAATCGAACAAAAATTGGGAGTTTGGTGCACTATTTATATAAAATCGGACGAAGTTATATATGGGGCTATATCTAAATCTGAACCGAATTCAACAAAACTTCACAGACATCAAATTGGACCTAATTCAGTACGCTGGGCAAAATTGGGTCTCAATCGGACAAAAATTGATAAATTGGTACCCCATTAACCTAAAATCGGACGAAAATATGTATGGGAACTATATCTATATCTTATCCGATTTCAATAAAACTTAACGCACTCTATCCTAGTCACAATTCCATACGTTTTGCCAAATTTTGTTTCAATCGGACAAAAATCGGAGGAAGCTATATATAGGAGCTATAGATAAATCTGAACCGATTTTAATGGCAATTAACACACTTTATCCTAGTCTCAATTCCATGCGTTATGCTAAATTTTGTCTAAATCGGACAAATATTGGTGCACAATTTACCAAAAATCAGACGAAAATATATATGGGAGCTACATCTAAATCTGAACCGATTTCCAAAAAGTACGGTGAACAGAATTTTGTTTCAATCGTTCAAATATTGGATGTTTGCACCATTCAGACAAAACCGGACGAAAATATATATGAGAGCTATATAGATAAATCTGAACTGACTCCAATTCCAATGGGGTTCGTCCTTGGGCCAAATAAATGAGCTGTGTCAAAATTCTTCTAAATTGGGTCATACATGTGATCTGTGCTTTTTTTTAAACATGGACAGACGGACATGCATAAATCAACTCAGAAAGTGATTCTATGGATATTTTCAAAGGAACCTGGAACCATTAAAATTTTGTAGGTAGTCGCACATCGAACAGTTTACAAGTGGCGTGTAGTTATAAATGGCCGTACATAAGAAGGTCGCCGGTTATTTCTAGAAAATTGCATACGTCACGATTCTGAAAGGATATAGAAGAATCAAAGAATTTGAAAATTTTTAATCCTATGGATTCGATTCTTTAATCCTTTTGCAATTATTAACTACAACAGACTGCTTGTACGTCCTGATATACCATTAAGTAGTGAGGTCATTTTAAAATACACCTGAGTTAATGGTCATGGATAAAATAAATGCTGTGCAATAAAATACACGTACACGCGTTCGCACGTGTTTGTGTAGTACAAATACAGATTTAGAAATTGATATGAACTTACATCTTATATATGACAATGTCGTTTAACAAGAGCTCTGTATAAGAATAAGTCATATGTATGTCTTTTTGAGGGAGTATATCCTTACATAGTAAGTGGTTCGCATAGTTTTCTGTGAATTGTACAGCATTCGCCTTTGTTTTATTTCATATGCAATTTATACACAAAAAACAAATATTGCCATATTCGTTGCACGTACAAAATATCACTATGCTGTGAGAAAACTTAAACCATGGCAAGTCTTTACAATGTCTGCAGTTGTGTAAGTATCTAGATACAATACACTAAAATATATCACTGAATTAACTATTTTGAAGTTGGCACGAAAAGGAAAAATTAGGAAAAATTTCATAGTTATTGAGTTTTATTTGTTCGTTTAGTTTATATGTGCAATACTTCTACGATTCAAGATAACGCTATTATGGTAAATATCGAAGGCTGTAGTCGTAAGTCAATTGCAAAGAAATATTTCAACGAAATTTGTCACAGGTTAGGTTATACTAATTTCAGTACGTTTTGTTCCTATCAGACATATATTGGTACCTTGGGAGCTATATCTAAATCTCAACCGATTTTCACGAAACTTGGCACACATAATTCTGGATTAAATTCAGTACGCTATGCAACACAAGATCTTTGGTACATAATTTACATTAAATCGGAGAAAAATATATATATTTAGATCTGAACCGATTTTCACGAAACTCAGCACACATCATTCCAGCATCAACTCAGTACGCTATGCCAATTTCGAAAGATATATGTGGACTTTGGTGAACCATTTACATGAAATCGGACTAACATATATATGGGAGCTGTATTTAAATCTGAACCGATTTTCACGAAACTTGGCAGACATCACTCTAGGCTCAATTCAGTACGTTATGCCTAATTTCGTGCAAATCGAAAGATACATTGGAACTTTAGTGCACCATTTACATGAAATCGGACGAAACTATATATGGGAGCTATCTCTATATCTGGACCGATTTGCACGAACCATGGCAGACATCATTCCAAACACAGTTCAGTATCGTATGTTAAATTTCGTGCAAATCGAAAGATATATAGGGACTTTGGTGCACCATTTACATGAAATCGGGCGAAACTATATATGAGAGCTATATCTAAATCTGGACCGATTTTCACGAAACTTGGCAGACATTATTCTAGGCTCAATTCAGTTCCCTATGCCAAATTTCGTGCAAATCGAAAGATATATAGGAACTTTGGTGCACCATTTACATGAAATCGGGCAAAACTATATATGGGTGCTATATCTAAATCTGGACTAATTTTCACGAAAATTGGCAGACATCATTCTAGGATCAATTCAGTACGTTATACCAAATTTCGTGCAAATCCAAATATATATATAGGGAATTTGGTGCACCATTTACTTTAAATCGGACGAAAATATATATGGGAGCTTTATCTAAAACAAATGAGCTGTGCCAAATTTCATCCAAATCGGATTATAAATGCGACCTGTAATTTGTTTACAATTTAACACCAATAGACGGACAGACGGACGGACGGACATGCATAAATCGACTCAGAAAGTGATTCTATGCATATTCTCAAAAGGAACTATGGGTCTATATCGTTTCCTTGTGCCTGTTACAAATATGTGCACAAAGACATAATACCACAGTGTGGTGAAGGGTATAAAAAACAAATTCATTTACAGATTTTTGTTATTTGTTAAATTCTAAAAAAAATCCACATACTTTCTGCTGTTATCAACATTTATTATAACTTAAATAACCTTTGGCCAAAAATAGGCATGCTTCAAAATAAATTGAAATAACATTATGACTAACTGTTCGCCTACGTGCACCTAACGTCATACATGTGATTGGGTCTTTGGCTAAAAATTGTGACATGAGTGCTACCATAATTTCCTAACAATATGTTAGGACAAAAGTTACAGCAAAATATGTTGTTAACTTCATATAACATTAGGGTAGATACCTTAATTGAGTGTAGAGTATGTCTGTCTTGATGATGATGATCGGTCAACAATTTACAGCTCAAATATTTTTCCACCTGGAAGACTAATATAAAGTAACGAAGTGGAAGAAAAGTGGGAAGCATAACGGGTAAACGCAACTTATTGCCACCAAATTATTGTATGGCTGGGAATTTGACTTCAAGAGTTTAAGTCGGTATGGATTTTTTTAAAAATATATTCTATAGAACTATAAGAGAGACAATCATCAATTTAAGTTCTTTATATAAGAGATATAACATGTAAGTGAAACATATTAGTTAACATTTTATACCCGGCCAAACAGTTTATACCCTCAACCACGAGGTGGGCATTTAAAATACCGCTGGATACCTTTATATACCGCGACTGCGTCATGATAGGGCATTTTGATACCCAATGAAAAATAAATTACTGCCAATTGGGGTAAAAAATGGATCCGTTATTTACAAAATACCAAATAATAGCCAGTATCCTAATATGGAGGCTATTGTAAAAAGTGTAACAATATTGATAATTTTTGTAAGAATATTCACTACCTATTTTGAACTCAATGTTGATAACTTTTGGTAG